TTCTTTTCTAATTTTATTGGAAAGTTTGGTTAATCTTATTGTAAATGAACCAAGAGTTCTCAGTGTTTTTGCTTTTTACAGCATGAACGTTGCAGTTCACTTGCAAATGAGTGATTTTCCTCACAGAATTTTTTGAATGTTATAGAAATTTGGCATTTTATGCCTATGTGTATTCCATACATTCCTTAATTTGCCTGCTTGGCCGTTAATTTATTCAGGTGAAGTAAGAGTTCTGCATGCGCACATTCTTTGCCAACAAAATTTATGTTCCGCGTCAAGATAAAGCTTAAACATAAATGTAAACCCCTTATTAAAGATTTCGTTGCAATTCCGATGATCAATTAGGATTTCAGTGTAGTCCATCATGAATTTAGATATCAGTGTTGATCAGCATTGGAGTTCGTTGAACTAAAGCTCGGTCACGATTTCCATGTCCATTCTTTAATCCTTTCAAGAATCTCTAATATGGGAGAATCTGGCAGGGCTGATGTTCTAGGGACAATGTGGCACAAAGCAAGATTTCTAAGAATAAGTGAGGTGCACACACTCGCTCGAAAAATCTATGGCGTAGTTAATCAAAAAAACAATGAAACACATTCGATTCAAACAAATAATCCAATAAGTGACATGAACGTTGATAAAGTATCCCGCAAATTTAGCAAGTGGGAATTATGAAGATCCCGCCTAACCCCTCTAGGATATGTTTCCTCTTATTTATGTGTTTAGTTTTATTACCGAGAATCTCGGTAGGTGGCAGGTGGTAGGTAACAGAACAGTACAATAAGTTTTTGGTATAGGTTTTTGCCGCTAGCTATTTCGATACAAATTTTACATTTTTGGAATTTTAGAAGTCGCACGTGAGCAAAGTATTCAGCTGCTAAAATGGGTAATGGGACCGTGTTTGACCCACTCGAATTCTCTCTATTGTTATCACGTCGTTGTAAATGCCCCTCGCATTGGCCAGTTACTAAATAGTTTGTTTCCCTGCACCTTAATGGACGCGATAAGCCTGGTTCACTCTAGCAGAAAGATGGTCTTAGTTTTCCTCAAGGCCCTAGTCTCAAATGTTAGAACAAATTAAGTGCTTCCAAGTAGAGTACGCGTTCTTCAGACCAATCATGTTCACTGCTCAGATTAACCAATTGGTCGCTTATCTTGAAGTGGTATTTATCAGCGGGACCATTTTAATGCTGTCCACAATTCATTCATATATTTCAGTTAGCATGGGTTCGAGTTCGTTATCTTTCGACATTGTAATTTCTCTTTTGTTGATTCTGAATAACTTTGGTGCCTATGGCACTTGCCCACCGGATTTCAAGGATGTGGGCGATGGGGTCTGTATGATTCATCTGCCGCTTGCAACCACCTACTGTGCAGCTCACCAGCTATGCGAAGTGAAGGGCAAGAAAAGGGGTTTACGACTTTTCGTTCCGGGCATTCATGCGGAGAGAATTCCCACATTCTTTCCAAGTGCCGCGACAGTATTCACAAGCTTGCATGCAATGTTGAACCGGTCTAGCGATCTTCGAGCCGGGTGGCGAGTAGGTGATCCGGGGTTTGCAAATCTCGAAATTGGCAACAACGCTAACGCAGTAAGGTGGTATTCTGGTGAACCAGACGAGCCCAATGAAGCGATTGCGCTTTATGAAAATGGTAGACTCGTCGATAAGATACAAACTGCGCTAAACGCCAGTGATGGCATTTGTGAAATCTCTAATCAATCAGATAATGGATCGTTTGAACGATTTCTGATCAACTGGCCCTATTCATTTAATTCCGTCTATTTGCAGGATAGTTGGGCTTCCGGCTGTTTCACTTCAACTGTGGTACCGACTTTGTTATCCTGCGGATTTCAGTAAGTTTGAACTTATTAGCTCAATCATTTTTATTTATTTTTGAAATACCAATTGTAACCTCTAATTAGATAACAATTAAAAATGAGAGTGAGACAATTGTTCGACGTTTCTCGACGGTCAATTTATAAAAACTGTACTTTGACAAATGTGTCATAAAATATGAATACTCTTTTTATGAGGCTTCCCAGGAGACAAATATTTTACAGCTTACTTGTAAACAGATGTTTCGCTGTTCAGAACACTTTTGACAGCAGTGCGGGCATGGAACAATACGATATCAAATAAGAAATATGGAACTATAAAAGATCTTTTGGTTGAACTGGGTGAAACTGGCAGAAGATAAGTAACCTTATCTGAATGTGTTCACCATTTAAGGTGTCTTTTGATCTCATTGTATTACACCAAAATCATTCGATTCCAGGTGCAAACTTCGGGCGTCATGCCGTGCGTTCTACTTTCATCAACAGACCGGACAATGCTTGCTTTCACTCTATGTTGATTCTCTGTTGCCACCGCATCTGTCTTCAATGACCCCCAACCGGATACGCGTTGGCAGACCAGATTGGTAATGCGAATCAACTGGACTTACTGTACTAGGGCGCTTTTGTGATGTTCATTCCTCATTTCGCTTCACTCATCTGCCCATCAGATTCAGCAACAAAAAATTAAAGGTGCAACGTTTTTGTGTGTAAGTTGGATGTTGCAAAACGTGTTTCATTTCAATGAATAAGATCCATGCTGTGATCGAAAAACAACTGATACTTTTTGTGATTTGGTGAACGGCTGTCTGTGTTTATTGACAAATTCATCAGATATCAACTTTCTTAGGTGTTCATGTATAATCAGGATGTTTCCGCTGGAAAACCTATTCCCTCGCAAGAAATGAACACTTCAAAAACAGCGCGGATGTTTACTCGGTGGACACTGACATTCTCATCTTCTGTCGTTGTCCTCAATGTCCTCGATTATATGATATGTACAATCATGTGAACCACACATTTGGTATTACGGCCGACACTATGTGCTTTTGTTTCTCGCTGACCTTCATACTTTGACAACTGTGCGTAATTTTTTTCAGGCCAGATGTAATTTACGCTTTCAGAAATGAATGTGACAAGGCTGTCATTCGTTCCACGGATATCAGCGCCAAATGATGTTCATCACTTTTCTCCTTTTTCTCTTTACGATATTTTATCTGTCATAATACTATTGCTCTGATTAAATGATATCGTGTTTGTTTTTACTATCATTTGCTTATGTAGTTGAAAAGATCTTGTGCATATCTGGAATAAGTAATATAAACGCAATTTATTGAAATAGGAAACATTTGTGTCGAAAGGTAAATGTAAAATGTAAATGTAAATATCTTTTTACTTCCTCTTCTATTTATTGAATACACAAAAGTACAGCAAACATTCAGGAAAGNTCAGGAAAGGGGGCCGCAGCCATACAAAGCTGCCTGAGTAGACGGGCGGGGGTGGGGCGGTTCGAATCCGGGACTCCCAGGTCACAGGTTGATGACCTAACCGCTTGGCCACCACCACCAAAACGAATAGCCTTACTTAGAAATGTGCAAATAACTGGACATTGTCATCCTATTGATTTGAAACCATTGCCAGTATCCTCTTAACAGAANTTCAACATGAGGTCTTCGAATAAAAGATTCAATTATAATTTATTGTTTATAGTCAGTTGCAAAGTTAATTCACGGTAATTCTACACAACTGGTGATTAGGGCGGAAAGTTCCCATGAGCTAAACACAAAGCAGTATTGGGGATAAATTAAGGTTGTACGAGGGGTGCTGTGCCGTGCTACGATCTACTTGAAGGACTGATTTTCCAACTATGGGGGTGATCTGATGACTGACATAGGGATGCATATTTAAGAGACGGTAATTTCTTCAAGGATGAGAAAACGGATAGCGCGGCCAAAATTTGAAGGCCCCGCGATACTTTATCTTACTTAGTTTCTCAAAGTGATAATCTGATTTTCCTATACACTCTTTTGATTGTTTATTAGTGCCATTTTAATTGACTAACGGGGTTAGAAGACTGATGATTTGAACACTGTCTCCTCCAAGTTTTCACTTTTTGAGTGTCTTACCCAGTTTATGTCTGGAGAGTGAGGCTGAAGACCTTAAGGAACGTCAAACCTGACATATTTGATTTTCGGTGTAAAATGTATGATTTTGTGGGGTTTGGTAAGTTGATCTTCAAAGTATCAGTCAATCGTATTATATTATTTACGAATTTATGGTATCAGAGATATTTATTTGTAAAATTCCTGCACTTTACTCGTTATGTGACTTCAATGCACTGGAGAAATTGAAAGATTAGGAAATTACTATCGTGATGCTGTTATTTTTTCGACACGTCTCTCCAAAACACTTAGTATGTCCATAAAACTAAACACATAAATAAGAGGAAACATATCCTAGAGGGGTTAGGCGGGATCTTCATAATTCCCACTTGCTAAATTTGCGGGATACTTTATCAACGTTCATGTCACTTATTGGATTATTTGTTTGAATCGAATGTGTTTCATTGTTTTTTTGATTAACTACGCCATAGATTTTTCGAGCGAGTGTGTGCACCTCACTTATTCTTAGAAATCTTGCTTTGTGCCACATTGTCCCTAGAACATCAGCCCTGCCAGATTCTCCCATATTAGAGATTCTTGAAAGGATTAAAGAATGGACATGGAAATCGTGACCGAGCTTTAGTTCAACGAACTCCAATGCTGATCAACACTGATATCTAAATTCATGATGGACTACACTGAAATCCTAATTGATCATCGGAATTGCAACAGGAATTTGTGGTACTATGAAAGAGCTGTGTGGATTAGTTGGGCCTCAACCGACAGGATGTGAATTCAATTGCATATTTTCCAAGTCCACTCTGACTGAGTAATCGAAATTATATTTCCAGTCGGTTGACGGTCGTGAGGTTTTTGCTGCCAACGCTAATCTGTTGCGGGCAGTGTTGACGAGCCTCAAAAACATAAAAATCTTCCGGTTCCGCCAGCTTTCGTCACGTTGTCCTATGGGAATGCGCTTATTATATTGGGAACAACTAACGGGATTAAGCTACTTTTCATCGATCCGGTTTATTTGTCACAAAACTGTGAACCGATCTTTATACTACTTTTTGGCATCTACTACTGTTTATCCTGTTATGTCTCAGTGTCTGGAATTTAACAAGTTTTGAGATTCCCGAAGGGTGCTACATAACACGAGATTCATTGTATCTGGCTGAGCCATTTGTCGGTATTTTCAACCGATGTTTCGAGAAAAAACTTTGTACTGTTGGAGACCGGTGTCCATCACGCCAATCTCATAAAAAGGGCGTCCAAAAATTTCAAAAACTCTCCTGCACTTCTGTTTGCCAACGATTTTGGAAAAGCAATTGTTTGATAGCATTATTCCAAAGGGGGGCAGTTAGACCACCGAAAATTCGCTAATTGCGCCCTTGCCCATTGGTAATCTGATGTTTGGAATCCCCAAACATGCATGGTACAGCATTTCGTGTGTGTTTCCTCGACTACAATAATGTTTTTCTTAGTGTCAACTGGGGGGGGGGGGGCTTTTTCTTCAGTCCGTGGTGCTGGACTGTCCATTACTAGTCCATCTCTACTCAAAGATTACTGTACTGTTAGAACAAAATTCACTACGTTTCTTTGGAAAACGTCTGACTCACTGTCGGTCAGTTCAGAGGGAGCAATTATATTCACTTTTCTTTTCTTTTAGTATATTCGAAAATAGCCTAATGATTCAGATGTTCTGTATATCAAGTAAACTGATGATGTCACATGGGTTCCCGATTCCTAAGTTATTTCCATTTATCACAGATTCAAACCAATGTATATCCTTCATTTTATAACACTCGTATTTCAAATTATTTTTGATCTAACTTGAGGTGAATCTGTACGTATAAACAGTACAAGCTGTGAATCACCAGTTCAACGTTTCAATAAGATTTTTATCTATTATACTAAAGGTAGAATAGAAGCTATTTACGGAATTGGGCATAACAGTAGCCCGTTTTGTGTAATCAAATTAACCTATGCAGTGTTGATATGTGGGAGCCCGCTGATCAAACTCCGTTTGTCAGAATTAGTGCCAGCATCTTGGTTAAATGTTCGTACGATTTTAAACAAAATTTTCTCGATGGCGACCATGTGGTCTTTTTCCACAGTCTTGAACCTTTTCGTGACTTATGACAACAGTTCTATTTGTTCCGCACAACCGGTCCGGTGAAGTGGGACGATCACCGAAGATATATCTCATCTCAGCAATGGCTGTCTTTGTCCCTCTGACTTTTGATCAGATGCAGGTAAGAAAATGGTCTGTTCCGTCTGCCGGTGCGTGATCATAATGTTGCTGCTACTACTACGCATTTGATTGAACAACCTCGGATCTTTTTGCGCGTTGAAGAAGTAACCAACAAGAGACATGAATCTCTCACAAGTTTCATATGTATGCACTTCTGATAATTTTGTACATGAATAAATAATCTGAGCAGAACATGGCAACCTTTCCAGCGTTTTGTATGACAAGTTAGCACTTAATAATAAAACAGTTTAAAATGTTTGTTCTTTGTTTTTAAACCATGTTTAGGGGCAATCAAGACCGTGCAAAATCCTCCACCTAACATAAACATGTTTATTTTGTCCTCAGAAAATAAATGCTTTTGAATTGACAGCCACTTGCCTTTTTCATCATGGAAATGCATAGATTCACACCGGTATCGACAAATTCTGAGGGTAACTAAGTTCAGGAGTCCTTGCTTGAGAAAAATAATCCATCATGTGAGCCTGTAGATACGCTGAGTATGCTTTGATTGGTTACGTTATTCAGAAAACAGGTTTGCGCCGATTAACTGCATGTTACCGAAATATAAAATGGCATAAGTATCGAGAAACACCACACATGATGCATTGAGAAAAATGATTCAGATTTTCTGGATCGCCCTATTCTGTACAGCAGGTAACAAATATTATC